CTTTTAAACTCCTCCAGTGACAGGGTGCCACAATCTCCCCCAGCAGTCTGTTCCAGTGTTTCACTGTCCTCATGGTTAAAAAGTTTTTCTTATGTCCAATGCAAACCTCCATTGTTGCTAAGAAAGCCCAAAGCATCTTGTCCTCTCCAGAGAGAGAAGCAAGATGGATGAAGAGGGATGTAAGCCTCATTGGTTTTTTTACTTGTTTTATTCCCAGCCAAAAGAAAGATAGTTTATTTCTTGAACAAGATACTATCTCCTGCAACACACAACTCAGAAGTATCTTTCTATTTTTAAAAGTGAAGTATAAGAGTTACATAAAAGCTGTGGAAACCAGGAATGAGAAACAGGGTCTTCACTTTGTGGGCTCTGCCTCCTATCCCAGCTAATTTCCCCATTCCTCGGAGCTGACCTGGGCTGTCCACAGCCCATCAGTGTGAGGAGGCTGCACTCACTGCCCTCCTTACCAGCACAGGGCTGACAGGCCCCATGCCCCCTGTGCCTGCAGCCTCTTATCAGCATGCCAAAGAAAGCAGCAGAAACCATGAACCTGGTTATTTTGTTCCTTTCTGCCCTCTTAAGACAGCACCGGACACAAGAAGGCAGACTGTCTGCTCTGGTGACTGGCTGTGAAAAGTAGAGATGGGGCAGATAATGCAGGCAGAGAACACAAAATAGATAGATAAATAACACAGACAACACAGATAGACAACACTGATAACACAGACAGATAATACGGGTGACGCAGATAACATGGGTAACACAGGCAACACAGGCAACAGGGGGGACACAGACAGATAACGGGGGTAACACAGCAAACACGGGTAACTGTTCCTCAGTGCCCTTGGTGTGAAGCAGCACTCCCTGCCCACAGCTGGGCAGAGCAGCAGGAGCGAGGGCTGCCTGCATTGGATGGCACCGCAGGGTACTTCGGGACAGCCACACAGCCCTACAGGCCCTTTCTGCCAGGAGGGTAGGTGCTGGCATGAGCACCTCCTCCAGCCTGGGCACACGCAGCCAGGGGCAGCTTTGGAGGGAACGGGGCTGTCACCAGCGCCACCGGCACGGGACGAACCGCGGCCTCGCCGGGGCTCACCTGCAGGCGGGGCCGCCAGCTCTGCCCAGGGTGCCGGGCACGGGGGGCTTGGGACACAGCGGAGCCAGCCTTGGGGTGAGTGCGAGCCCGTGACCGAAGGAGCTGCTGCCCACGGAGCCGGTGCGGGGAGCGCGCAGGAGGCGGTGCCCGGGGCACTGCGCGGTGCCCGCGGTCGGTGCAAGGGAGCCGTGTGCGATGTGCGGTGTGCAGGGAGCGGTGTGCGATGTGCGGTGTGAGGTGTGC